TAATGTTAATTCACTGAATAATATTCTCTGGAATATTGAAATATAACAAACAAAACATCGTATTTTATTGCATTTCTCAACTGGCATGTTATATCAGAATTACTAATAATGTTTTTGTCGTTCTAGATTATGAAAAGCCTGCTACAACAGATATACAACAGAGAGAGAAGTAAATTTAGCGTTTTTATTTCCAACATGCGCTCATTCATGGCTGCATATTATTTAATTCGCAAAGTTACGTCTTTATTGGGACAGGACTTGACGGATTATTTTACGTGACTCCATGAGTTCGTCTCTATTTCTTCGAGCCAAGCTGCATAAACTGCATATCAGGCATTTATGTAATACATCTAATTTGTGCATTAATGGCTGTTATGTTAAATAAAGTTTACTAACTACAGTAAATAAAGTACCTGTGCACACTGTTGTTGTTGTCTTGTTTCCCCTCAGATGCGCTGCAATGGCGTTTATCGGTAAATCCGATATTACAAAACCGATATCCGATTATTGTAAAATGCTTAAATATCGGAAAAAATATCGGTAAATCGATATATCGGTCGATCTCTAGTTGTTTGTGAATCTTTGGCTATATTAGAGCAATTCTTTTAAGATCCTCGCCATCTCTGACAGCAGCTCGGTTAAATGTGGTTTTTAATGTGATGGGTTTGGAATCATAACTGGAGAGGAGGACAGGAGATATTTCAATTGTTTTAGAGTTTACTCCATTAAAGATTTCTGAGTAAAGCAGATCCAGTGACCTCAACTGTGCTATAATATTGTCATGTCTCTTCCTAGAAGAAGTGTTTCATAATTACTTTACTCATGGGGAAACAAAAGAGATGAGAAAAGAAAACCACTTAGCAAGTCTGGCATCCACAATTTGCTTTTAATGCCAGTTCCTCAAAAAAGAGAACATCTTAGATATGAGACACAAGTTTTAACGTCTCATTTTTCTCCCTTCTGCCTTTGTCAAATGCACTGGCAGAGTAGATACTGTGCAGAAGTGTCACATAGTAGAATTATCTAGTTACTGTGCATTTGCATTTTTTCCTAATGTTTGTTTCAGTTCAGTAGTTTCAGCAAATTATTTGAAATGTGGTCTGCTTTCTTATTACAATCCTAATGCTCTCAGTCTGTTCAGTAGTGTCGTTTGCTTAAAACAGTACTCTGTTTTATTTGGCTGTGCGTATTGATTTGAGATCCATCAGTTATAAAGCCAATGTCTACTGGCTTCTTGTCTTAGTAAGAATTATGTTTTACGGAACTATGTTTAGAATGTAATTAAAATATGATGCAGTCTTCAGTGGAGCTATATTTACACATGAAACAACAAAACAATTCAAACGAAAAACAACTAGAATTTGAGCAACCATCCTTAATAACAGATTTAGACGGTATCTATTACTACTATAGACCATGGATATATTTAACTCATTCATTTGCCAATAGGAGGACTGTTCTGTGACTGTAGTGTGTATCAGTCGCCCATTTTGCTTGATAAGTCTCCTCCTTGTGGTAGATCACAAGAATTACAGCACATTAACGTGTTGGTACTATAAGGTTTAAGATTGAGTGAGAGAATTTTTTCATATAAGAAGACATTTTCATATAATATTAGATCACTATAATAACGGTAACAGAGTGTTGACCAATAATTGTGAAGTATTTTTATGTTTATTTGTTTGGTTATGGCATAGTTCTAACAAAGTGACTACTATTAGAAGTTGAAGTGTTTGTTAATTTAAAATAATCAGTTGTTTCTTTGAAATATTTAATACAGTAATTTTCAGTAACATACTAAGCTGTTTTTTTATTCAAATATAATTGATTTGCCTACGTGTAATGTTAGAATTTCACATGCTTGAAACCATTTGTCAGCTTACATTGAGAACGTTTCTCTGTTTGAGAGATCCAGACCTTCTCTAAATGGGTCAAATGTTGTGAAATGGCAATCTATATTCTCCATTTTCACTTCAGTTCTGATCTATCAGAGGACATAATGGCCACAATACTGAATATAGAGCAGTCCAGGATTTTCTTAACGTCGGACCTACCAGAGCTCTCAGAGCTGTTATTAAGCTTATCGTAGCCGGTATAAAGAGCATTTTGCAAATGAGTGACAAAGTGCAGAGTTCTAGAGGCATATCATTTACCACCAAGTGGGAAGCAAATGTATCATGTTTGATAATTCAGACTGCCTGATAGATTTTATATTACCACTCACTCTATTTCCCTGAGGCTCTGTTTTATGGTTATACAGTGTAGAGCTCGAGGAATCGTGGGATAGAAGAAAGCGCAGCCGAGTCTATATTTGAGCGTGATGACTGTAATTAGAGTGTGATTATTCCCAGAGACGGCTGGAAAAAAAGGCAGTCGACAGTGAGGGAGGTTGCTATGGAAACCGACACGGAGGCAGTGAAAAGGGTCTGTTCGCTGGTGGTTATGTCATGTGTCTGGTGCGCATGTAAAAAGTTTGGACATGGCAGGTTTCAACTTTAGTCTGTGTACTCTGAAGCTGCTATTAAAACTTTTGTTGTCTCGTATTAAATGCGTATTCTCTTAATTGCTTCCTCTCATTGCATGGAATTCTCTCTCATTCTTACCTAATGTGTTCAAACATGCTCATGTTCACATATTAGAATATCATTCTGCCAAAGAGCTGCTCGTTTCCCTAAATATATTAAGTGAGCCAGTTTGGAACTTACAATGACAGAATTATTTACGATGAAACAATAAGGCTAATTATATTGACCGTTTATGCCTTATCGTACAACATTAGTCTGACAGATCCCCTACAGATGAAAACTGCTCTTACACAGGAACACTTGTGGTCATTAGTATTCCTCGTGAGGACCACTGCTATACCCTGCATCCTCCCTGTTCGCCCAGATAGCCATTGAATTATGAAGCCAATCTGAGCCATGGTTTGGGTTGCCTAGCAACGGACTATTGAGTGGCACTGGGTCCCTGGTGATAGGGAGATAATCAAGGGGCCAGATAATGTGTGTGTGTCTCTATATAGGTGTGTTTCCTGATGGCCTGTGTGCTTATCTTGAAAGTGTCAAAAAGAAAGAAAATACCCTAAACCCCTGTGGCTATTATGACCCCAAGCAGCCTCACAAAATAAACTGATGGCCAGTAGACTGACACAAACAGTTGTGCTTTTCCTTCAAGCCTAACATGGGTGGGCAGGTTTTCTGTTATAATGGTCACTATCATGATCTCTAGAGAAACAACACGGCATAAAAAAAAAATCTAACTGTTATAGTTTCTTGCTAATTTAAAGAGCAGGAAGCTGTTTACATAATATATAAAATATTATTTGTCTCAATAAATCATGTATTGTGATCCTGATAGAATGATTGCCTTATCTGATCATTTGGTATTTGCATAACATGTTTAAATACTGTCCATACCTTGGTGTATAATAGTAAAAATATAATTATAATTATAATTGTATGATTTTTGTTATGCAATTTGTTCTTGCCATGAAGATAGCCTTGCTGATGACATGGTGTTTAAAAAAAAAAAAAAAAAATCAAATGTATTTATTTTTTATAATTATCATACAGTATGTGTTTGTAAAAGTTGACTGTATGTTTATTTTGCAGATGGGGTTTTTGGTCAATGTCAGAGTTATCCAGGTTCAGTTCCCTACACTTATGACGTGTCTCCAGCAGCTGTGCAGCGTTTAAGGAACGTTCTTCAGAAGCTGGCCCACAGAGGTATCACATCTCTTTGTGTGCAAAGCATTCCTGTGTGCTTGTTTATCATGTTCACGTATCACATTTAATTGTTTTATTTTTTCCACAGTATAAGATACGTTTCACTGTGGAAATTATTGTTTATGTGTTCACAAGTCCATTGTCTGTTTTTCTAATTACACATCTCTTTGTTTACCAACTTCCCTGACTGTTAATCATTCAGCTCTTATCAGCTGTCAGATGCTATAGCTTTCAGTCTGTTACCTTTTTTTTAGATCTGACATTAGCTTGTTGACTTGTCTTCTCACTTCACCTGCTTATTTACTGCCACTTATTTACCTGTCAGTGTTACTGTAACTCTTTTGCCCTTTTACCCACATACTGTAGCAAAGCTGTGAAGTACATGAAAACATATGTCTGTCTATTAGTTGTCTTAATTCTCTTCTAAATACTTACAATACCATTCAAAAGTTTGGGGTCAGTAAGATTTTATTCTTTTTTTTCTTAAAAGAAATGAATAAATTTATTCAGAAAGGATGCATTAAATTGATTGAAAGTGACAGTATACAGACTGTTACGTTGTTACAAAAGATTTCTATTTCAAATAAATGCTGTTCTGAACATTCTATTCATCAAATATTCTAGGAAAAAAATTAATCACAGTTTTAACAAAAGTATTAAGCAGCACAGTTGTTTTTAACATTGATAATAATGTGAATCAGCAAATCAGCGTAATAGAATGATTTCTGAAGGATCATGTGACACTGAAGACTGCAGTAATGACTGCTGAATATTCAGCATTGCATCACAGGAATACATTACATTTTAAAATGTATTCAAATAGAAAAAAGTTATCTTAAATTGTAAAAATATTACACAATCATACTGTTGTTGCTATATTTTGATCAAATTAAAAATTTAAAAATTGAAAATCTTAACAACCCCAAACTTTCACTGGTTATTTTAGCTATGTTGACCTTGATTGCTGTGCACCTTGTTGACATGATTAAATGCTAGCCAGATTTCTTTGAAACCGAAGATTAGTGAGTAACAGACTAAAAAACATCAAAACTTCACTGACAGCAGTTTCTGGTTTCGTCAATGTACTTAGTAAGTTTTATCTTTGGCAGAACCATGTCACAATCAGTTCCAGAGCTCGTCATCTCAAGTCAAAGCTGACACAGCCAAACGTGCGCTCATCTTTTGTGGCACGATGTTGCTGTCTGTCACATGGACAGATGAAAGAGAGTAGGATGAAAGAATGAGACTGAGCACTCATCCACTGCTCAGGGGCTTGGAATTGGACATCTGAGGGCTTTCGTGACAGAAAGGTTTCTCGTGACAGAAAGGTTTCTCAATGATACACTGTGTTAGGAGGGCTGGACTGAATGTTCTATCACTGATAGAGCAGAACTTCTGCAGAGATGTGAGTCTTAATCTGTTCAAGCTGAACATATTGTTTGAACATGCCTGATCTGTAGATCTGACTTAAGATACTTGCACTTGTACAACAAACGTTGGGTACTCTCTGTGTTAGACGTCTGTTCAATGTGTTGCAGTTTTGCTAGAACGGGGTTTCATAAAAAACTTAAAGCCTGTTTATATGAGAAGCTAATTAGTAACATTGAAGTGATTTTGATACAAGGCATGCATGTGTGTGTGTGTGTGTGTGTGTGTGTGTGTGTGTGTGTGTGTGTTCACACTGTT